GCATGTGTGAACAGCCAGCTCAGGAGGATTTTAGGAGCAGTCCTCCAGATATAATCTAGGAGTGCAGACGTAACAAACAACTTCAGTTACACAGCGTGGGATGTGGGACCTATTTTTTGTTACCGTGGTATCCAAACGGATCTCAGTTTTGTTATTTTAATAAAACCATATCAAAGTTTAAAGGTGGAGTCACTGGATGGACTTCCGAAAAATGTTTACTCACCAAAAATGTAAAGACTTACGGACTAACAAACAATAATCAGCACTCTGTTAGTAATGTGAAAAGGTCTCAGTTTGGTCACGCTTAAAGATTTCTCAATTTTAAAAATTTTGGGGCTTTTATTTGAAAGGACAGTCGACAGAGCTGGAAACCAGAGAGAGAGAGAGAGAGAGAGAGCTTTCTTTGAGCTTTGTTCAAGTTTTTACTCACAGTAAACCCACTTTCACTGTAATCACACTATTTTTCTATTTTTCCAAGCTGAGAAATAACCCGATGAATAAACCAAAAAGAAAGAATTGAATATTTAATCAGGGCTCCAGAGGGACGACATTCATCTGAATGCACAAACTTCTTCTTCTGGTTTTATCTGGAATATTTATTGTAATCGTTTCTACACTGCTCCGCAGCAGGAACTTTTAGTGACAGCTGCTTTCATCATGTAATCTTTTTTTCTTCTAAAGTTTTATTTGTACGTTTCTACTAACAGAATCTTTGCATATCATAAAAAATATTTGGGTCTCATTTTGTAGTTTGCGCAGACACTGTTGATTAAAATGTTAGGGGGGGTTTCAGGCGATGATCTGAGACGTGGAGGCGTGCAGCGTCACCAGAAAGACACAGAGTAAGCAGTAGAAGTAGTAGTAGTTGTTGAGGTAATATGCAGTAGTGTGCAGCATAAAAATAGCGACAGGTATTACTGTCTTACTCACGGTCTCCATCCTATTCAAAATCAGGAGAGCATCACAGGGCTCGACAACAGCGACTGGTTCAACACGTCGTGGAGTTCAGAGTTTTCATCCAGCTTGTCAAAGTAGGAGAATCTTCAACTGAAACTTCCCTTTGAGAAGCTGGTCTCGGACCTGTTCATGTTAGACACTGCTAACAGGTGTTACAGATGAAAGAGTGACCATGTTAACCATGTTGACCATCAGCTGCATGAAAACAGCAAGAGTACGCCTACTCTTTTGTTTACTCCTCATTATTAATCAAATTTAACTCATCAGATATGTATTTAATGAAAACTACACAACCTCAACAACAACCTCAGGGGCGTTCGGCTCAAGGTCACCAGTTAACACGGTCACATTTTAAACTGTTACACTGACAGAGTGTTGAAAGTTAACGCGCTGATTCACAAGTTTATACCCTTCTGTATTTTCGTAAGTGGTGTTAAACATTTGACAGCTCATCTGCCCAATAATCGATAAGAAAAAGACCTAATCTCTGCTCCAAGTCAGCCCACGATTCATTTTGTTGGTAGTTGACAAGCTAACTAGCGTCTTGGAGGTGTCCCACAATGCAAAGTGCGACTCATACCCATGGCGTTTGTCTTCCTGCTTAGTGGATAAAGAGGCTGTGATGTAGTTACATATAGACCGCCCTGTGTTGGTGTGTTCTTTAGCCAACTCTACATTATTGCAGTGTGAACACAATATGACCCAAGGAGAAAATGCACCGATGTGTCACTATATCATCTGAATCAGACCAAAGCAAACGAGCTACAGGTCAGAGGGATGAGACTTCTTTATAACTTTATTAGAAACGCAAAATTCAGATTTGATAAAACACGATCAGATCAACATGGCAGCATCAATGACAGAAATAAAAATGTTATGCAGGGTTTATAGGTTCTTATCGAAGGGAGAAGAATCCAGAGTCAACGTGTTGGTAAATAAAAAAAGAGTCATCACTCCAAAAATACAGAAGACCAAAATAAACGACTTCAATTGACTGGAACCAGATAAAACAAACGAGCAGCCCACATGATTTCCTTTCTTACATCTCCTGAAGAAAAACGTCAAAGGGATTAACATGATGAATCAATGTAAAGTGTGATTTCTAAACATTATTTATAGTCTGATATTTAGACGGCTGAGGTAAGACGTGACGTAAAAAAAACGACACAGAAGTGGCGGATAAAGCAACAGAATCAGAATCAGAATTATTGGCCAGGTATGCTTACACACTGGTACAGGTACAACATTAAATATCATATACGATGCTATAATGAGTATATTTGTCTTAATGTCAATGCTACCTGTAGTTGAACAGAATCTGAACTAAAGAGTGGAGAAGAACATACTGGAGAACAGGAAACATAATGCAGCAGGTTCATTAGAGCACGGAGATGGTAGAGGTGGCGTGCACGGGTCATGTTCAGCTGGTGTAAAAGAACCAAAGCTCAAATATTTCAGTGTTACTCATAGAAACTGCCTTAATGACTGACTTTTGGTTAGAAAAGTACAAAAGATCATTTCCTGATCTTTAATTGACAGAGATAAAATGGTATTTTATGGGGATGTCATGAAAGGTGGATTCTTTTGTCTAAACAGTTGTAATATTTTTTTCTGAGCGTGCAAGTGTGAAAGTGTTATTACTTTCATCCGTTAAAGACTCAGCAAGTGAACGAGCGACAAAGACAAAGAATTGACAGCGTTTAAGTAAAACACAAGTCTAACCTGGAAGTCGTTTAACTTTCACCGCTGGCTTCTCCAGAATTACAGAGACATCATCATCTGTTCCCCGAGGCTCATATCGTATTAGACGATGAGTGTGAAGAAGGCTTACGTTTGCTATCTAAAGGCAGGCTGAATCGTATTTATGTGTAACATAAACACACATTAGACTCGAGTATTTCCTGTTTACACCACACTGTTATTTTGTAATTTTAGATATTTAAACTCCGCAGTTTCTCCTTAAACCTTCTGTGAGTTTGTTTCACATTCATTTGTTTTATTCTATTCTATTTAAGTTTCCTGACCGAAGAAGCTGTTAAGTATCCTTTTACATCTTTATCCTATGTTTGTGTTTATTTTTTTGCACCTACATACCAAGAAAAATTCCTTGTATGTGTAATAGAATAGAGTAAATCTTTCAATCAGAGGTGCACATTTGCCTTAGTCTCTCCACATACATAAACCAGTATAAAACCATTCAGGCAGTCAGTTACAGAGACAACACAGCAGCCACATTTACACATTAAAAACATTTCATCAGATCTCATCAGTCATGTGGTGAGATCAAGGATGTTTACTGCATTTGGGATAAGTTACATTTTCAGTATCCAGAGGGACTCTATAGCGCCCCCCCCAGAGCTCAGTGGTGTAAACTGGCAGAAGAGAGTAGGAGAATGATCTGCTTGGATCCTCTTCTCTCTTTCTCATCCTTTCAGTAAAAAGATCAGACAGAGGTTTTATGGTGTTATGCCCTTTATTCTGCCTGCTGTTGACACGAGCTTAGAGAGTTTATTCTTAAATCTACAGCTCAAGTGACAGTTAAAGAGGACATATCATCCCCCTTCTCCACCTTTTGAAACAGTCCCCTGTGTTCTAAAAGAAACATCTGTGCTGTGCTTTGGTCAAAATATAACATGAATCAAGCACCAGAGGAGGTTTGTGACCCTTTGTAAACCAGCTCTCTCAGAACGCTCCGTTTTGGTGTGTGTGTGTCTCTTTAAATGCCATGAGCCCCACCCCCCGTTCGTTTTTTTCGTTTTTTGGCAATAAACTTGATTCTGATTCTAATGTAAGAATAAAGTGATGAGAGATGATTAGAAAATAATTTTAAAGAGTCGAGCTGAAACCCCCGACTTCCACTGTGCTAGCTCTTCTTTTCTTTCTTGTCCTGTCTCTCTCTTTCTCTTACACACACACACAAACACACACACACACACTACGAGCTTCTCCACACCTATGTGGGAGAAAACAGTGAGTGAAATTGAGTGCGATGAATGGCTCTGTATTCAGAGGCCCTGGCAGTCCGGTTCCTGTGTGGGTCTGCAGGGACACAAGAGCCTTTTACAGTTGCTCCCTGCTGTAGGAAGTCTGAGGAGATTTATCTGTGTGGATAGTTTTCAGCCCTCTTTACAGGCTGCAGATGGAGGGATGAGAGAGAGATAGGTGCATGATATGTGAAGTTAAATGTTTGTTGTTTTAGGCTTTAAGGGATGAGTGGAGGATTGGGATGACGGCCAGATTTGATCAGATTATGCATGTAGAAGAGGGACTAGATAAAAGTTTTGCTTCTGTCCAGGGTTCTGCAAACCTTCCACAGATTTGTAGCGTGTTTTGAGTGAGGTTCTCGGGATGAAAGTTTTTGCAATGTAACTGTTGTAAAATGTTTTCCTGCAAGTTTAGACTACTAGTATTTAACTTAAAGACAATATAAACAGTGTAAATATTACATTTCATTAGAAATCTAGAGAGTAAGTGATTTTTTAATTTGTTGTGGAAGAGAAGCAGAGACAAGTGTGTTAAGAGTAAATGAGTACGACATGGGACAAGCTGCAGTCTGTCTGCTTCAAGGTGAGTAAAATAACTTGTTCAGTCTTGTTAAGTGACTATTTCTGCACAGAATGCTGCTGTGTTAAATTAAATATAGGTTTGTTTTATCCTGGTGTGCTCATGCTTTATAGTTTTCTGTCCGTGCTGTGATTAGAAAGCAGTGTAAATTGTGCATTTCTGCGAGGCACAATCATCCGTTTATGAATCATTCGGCTGCTATGAGGGTGTCCGGAGCGCTGAGAGAGTGAAGGGTGAGGCAGCGTGTAGGCGAGGAAAGCTCCCCCATCCTGTCGGGGCTGTCAGGTTGTTTGAAGGAAGGAGTGATGACGGGGGGGGGGAGGGAGAGAGAGAGAGAGAGAGAGAGAGAGAGAAAAACACACGCAGGGTCCTGCAGGGATGGAGGGGTTTCTGGAGAGCGCTGTGGTGAAAGGAAATGTATCACTGAGAAATAATGGTCTTTTTCCGTCCCCTCTCTCCCTCTCTGTGTCTTTTTCCAGAGCTCCTGGGCTCCACCAAGAGACTCAACATCAACTACCAGGACTCAGACGGGTAAGACAAGTGTGTCAGTGTGTGTCAGTGTGTGTCAGTGTGTGTCAGTGTGTGTCAGTGTGTGTCAGTGTGTGTGTGTCTGTGTGTGTGAAGTTGAGTCAGAAGAATGCAATGGAAGACATGCAGATTAGAAAATAAAGCCCAACCTGTGGCTGTGCTGTGTCATCTTAGTCTTCAGTGTGTGACTGAATCACATACATGTTCTGACATACAGAGCTGTCTTGTGTTATTACCTCATCTTTAAGGTGTGTTCATACGTAAATAACTCAATGCAAAGACACAGAACTTTTCTAGCTCAAACAACAAGATGTTGTGGTGCTGTTGCACTACAGTCTATTATCGTTAAGTTCCTCCTGATGTCCTGAAGTTGCGTCAAATATTGACAAACCAAACTACATTGTAGTTATGAGAATTGATTCTTATTGCTAAGTACATTTACACATACAAGGAATTTGACTTGGTGTGACCTGAGACCTGGTACTGATCTGAGCTAACAGGTCATCAAACTGGGACCTGGTACTGAGCACTGTCTTCTGATTGGCCAGCTCTCTGGAAGCCTTATGGGGGGCAGAACGCTGCAGGGCTGTCTCAGCCCCTATTTCCATTTGCACACCTGCCATTTTTAAGTAGAAGTACTCGTCCTCTTTGGTTAGTCCACCCACTTCTGACTGCGTCACATTTTGCCTCCATTAAATAAAAGCTGTTGTTTTTGTTTGTTCATGGCATTTTGTTTCTGCTCACGTCCAGAATCCTTCCTCTCCGTGTGTTTGCCTGCACACAGTGTGTGAGTGTGTGTTTGTGTGTGTTGACTCAGATCTTCTACGTGTCTCTACATGCAGCCTCAGTGCAGTGTGTGTGGGAGGTGACATACAATAAGGGTGTTGAAATTAAACATGTCCACCCGTGATGGAGTGTGTGTGTTTGGTTAATGGGAAGGGGTTACCTGTGATATTTGAGATCTGTGCGGAGAGAATAAAGAGGGGAGGGCAGGTTAGCAAACATGTCAAAGTCAACACAAAGAGAGAGCGAGATGTGTGCGTGCGTGGAGAAAAAGTGTTTGTTTTTGACTGAGGAAATGGAGAAGGTTTGGTCTGGTTGAGAAGTGGATGGATGTTAGATGAATGTGTGGTTATGCGTTCCTCTCTGTGTGTGTGTGTGTGTGCGTGTGCGCGTGCGTGTGCGTGTGCGTGTGCGCGTGCGTCTTGCAGAGGTCTAAACACTGACTGAGAGATAAGTCACTTCACAGTCTGGAGATCCCTCAGATTTCATTTCAGAACAGACTGACATCTTGGGAGCACTCACAGTAGGCCCAGCTCCCTCGTATCATGCCGATGCTGAAGCACGATTGCCCCTCCCTCCATGGTCCCTCGCTGCACTCAAACTGATCCAAGCACCAACCGGGCCTGAGCATGGTTATCTCTTGTACATACATCATAACATCGTTAAGATAGATAGTTGATGGATTTCCTAAAGACCTCCAAGTTCTTGTGGGTTTATTCCAACTAGTGCTGGGCGATATGGCCTAAATTTGATGTCACAATATTTTTTTGCCTAATGTTGATATTCGATATAACTTCATATTTATCATATTAAAGTTTATGAATGTAGCCTATAAAACTGAATCTCCACTGTATAAAACAAAAAAGATCACTGGCCCCACCATTGTTCAGCTGGCCCAGGAACATTACTTTTGATTCTAAAAATAACAGTGACCAATTTACTCTTGAACCATTCTGATGCAAAAGTCAATTACAACTTGTATTTAATTAATTGAGCTTTAGTGATAAAAATATTGTGTATTTTTCTAATATTTTATGTGCTCATGTTTATTCACCATGCTGGTGACTTTTGCTCGACTTTTGTCGGGATCTGATGGTTTTAAAACCGTTTTACAAAACGTGTGTTTGAGTAGAGAAAACCTGCGCTAAAATCTGTGTGCGAGTGTATTATTCGAGACTTGGTTTTGGGTAAATTAGTTTGTTTGAGCGGCATGTGAGAAAAATGAATCTTTAATGTGTAATGCGGGAGTGACAGCAGTGAAGCCGCTAGCTGAACGTGCAATCAGCTGGACTCTGTCAATCATTCATCCAGGCCAGCGGGACAGTTATAATGCAGATTATAGTATAGTGCAGATGGTAAGGTAGAGCTGTGGTATTCACGTCTGGTCCCTTCCTCTAACCCTAACACACATTTAACCTACCACTAAAAGGTCAAAGGTCCCTCAGGTGGGTTCAGTCCACGGGAGAAAAGATTCTTGTTTCGGAGCAAGAATCTTGATTTAAAGCCTAAGGAGTCTTGTTATGTTTCCTCTCACTGTTCTTCCTCTACTCTGATAATCTGCACACAGCAACGCAGTAACCTCATTTGTCAACAGAGCTGTCAATCATGGCGTTATTCCCCTTTTTATGTCTTCAAATAACTCATTAAAAATAGACTTACAAATCAATCATTATGATAAAAAATAACTAATGACATAAAGAAACCATGTTTGAGAAACATTTAATTGTTGTGTATTTAAGTTTCTGGTTTGACCCATGTCCCATTGTTAACATAAAGGAGGCGGGGTTTAAGACAGATACTTGAGCCAGTTATCAGGAGGAGTTGGAGGTTTAAGTTGGCGAACTGTCATGTTCATCTTTTTATACAGTCTGTAGAATATACCCTGTAAAAAAAGCTCCACAGTAACGTGTCTGTTTTCCACATGTTGACAAAGTTCGTCAGTTATCTTTTACGAATACATCCAGGCTGCTTCCACTGCTGGCGTCCAGGAGCTGACTGCCAACACTACGACTGCCTGAGGCTGTGTGGAATCAGCTGAAAGCCCTCTGCACTGTTATTGTCACTTTATCCCCACATGAGGAGAGGTTTTCCAGCTTGGACAGTGGTTGTGTCTTTTCTCTGAGGCTCAACTTTCTGGTGTCGCAGAAAGACAAAAGCAAAACTCATCGCCAAGAATTTATGATTTTAACTCCTCTGTGGAATATCCAGCAACCTGAGGGACAGACGCACACATTTCATCTCTGCAGTTTACACAGGAGAGCAAAGTGTTGATGGTTGGCAGTGTTTCCCACAGGATTTCATGAGACTATGGTGGGGGGACACCGAACCCTCTAGGGGGGTCCGAGGGCATGCACCCCCAGGAGAAACATTTGTACATTTTCAAGTTAAATGCATCAATTCTGTGCTCTTGTAGTGCACTTAGCTAAATGAATGTAAATAAAAAGTGAATTTGCGGTATACTGTTCCTACTCCTCTTTCAGTTATGATTATCGTTCCTCTCCAGCTCCAGCCTCTTGTCCAAATTTACCCAGGATACCAGTGTTACGCACAACAGGCTGCTGTTACTGAAGTTAGGAGGAGACATAAGCACAATCAAAGAAGGCATAAAGATCGCGTTATTCCCCAAGCATGTTAATATGTTTGGAATGACAGCAGGAAACACCATGATTAAACTATATTGTTGTCTATTTTTAGCCAACAAAACTGAACAATCACAGCCTCTGCATTCTAAAGACATTTACATTTATTTCTTCCTATTTCCCTCATTTCGCCAACATTATATTTTAAACAGGGGATTTCTCTGTTCTCGGGCTGTGCGTCTCTCCCCCAGCTCGTGCCCTCTGGTGTGCTCCTCTCCATAGTGTGTGCGTCTCCTCCCTCTACAGCCCGCTGCTGCTGCGCTTGGATGGGGGGACCTCACCACTGCTTGTACCCACCTCTTGCCAGAGGTTTATGGCCAGTTAATAGTTTATAATAAACAGAGCAGGGAGGGTGATGCGCGCACAGAGACAGATGAGCACTCGTAGCAGCATTGTAGCAGTTTGGACCGCAACAGTCTGTTCACAGAGACTGCAGTCTGCCATGTAGTTCACAGGTTAACATGTAAACTATAGAGCAGATGATCAACTTTTTGTTTCTTGTCCGTCCACTTACATGCGCAATGGCACGTTCCCGGACTCTCTCTCTCTCCCTCTCAAGTGCGGTCCGCGGACCCACCTTTATCTTTAAATGCACATTTTTGACATAATGAGGAAGAGAAAGTCTTGAAAAAAGGTCTGATCTAATGTTAAGACTTGTAAGTAAACTTAAAGTGCAGTTTTTCAAGACAACAGGTCTTAAAGCGAAATGTATTTTTTCCACTCTTTCAGAAGTTGTTTTGCAGGTTCTAAAAGAATATTCAGCCAGGATTTCGAAATCTACGGTTACAACTAGTTATGCTGCTTTGTCTGACAGGGTGATCAAACGTCTTTAATTGTCTTTAAAACCTACGATACCTGCGCAGCTTTTGAAAAGCTCTAAACGGCTGAGAGTTGTAACACTCTGCAGGAGGTATTATAAACAAGGTACAGACTGTTTTAGGGAACAGACATAAAAACAATCACATATTCCGGTGTAGGCTACTGCAGCCACACATCACATTTAACGGGGTAAACTGTACTTTAAATGTTCTTATAGTTGAGAATAATTCCCTGATGCTAGCGGGGCAAATTAGACTATGGCGCGGCAGATTAGACTATGGCGGGCACCACAGTCTAGTTAATTAATGGGAAACACTGGTTGGGTTGGGATACACACTCGTAAAACACATAAATTGTCATACAAGGCTGCAGCTTGTAACAGGACACACACATCTCAGTCTGAAGGTTTGAAAAGGCCTCACCTGCTGTAAAATCATCAGTTTGATTTATTGCACCTCTCATCTCCTTGTCTTGTCCCTTGACCCCCTCTCCTCCCTCTCTCCCTTTCTCTCACTCACAGCTTCTCAGCGCTGCACCACGCCGCTCTGACGGGCACCACAGAACTGTTGTCTCTGCTGCTGGAGGCCCAGGCCACAGTGGATATCAAGGACATCAATGGTATGATGACAGCAGAACAAATTAAACAGCTCAACCCTCGTCGTAGAACAAACCCTCGATACAGGAAAAAGAAAACAGTTCACACTCTAGAAGTCAGCTTGGGTTAAATTGTGCTTAAAAATTTCCTCAACAGCTTTGTGACACTCTGAGAAATAAGTTTGACCCATATGAATAAATATGACTCACTTTGAAGTCTGTCTGCCAATGCAGTGACGGCAGCACTGCAGCTAATATCTGCAGACTTACAGCGAGACAAATACAGTACAATTTATATGAGAGAGGCATCTTGCATACTCATACCAAAGAGGCGTGTGTGACGCTGCTGAGGTCAGCTGTAGGTTTCTGAAGGAATATTTAATGGTTTCATTTACTTTTTGGTGCCTTTGCCAGCCCGTCAGATTAGGAATTCAGAGTTTCATGTAAATTGAATGTACAATGGGGCGGCATCAGAAAGCATTTAACCTTTTGACTTAGTGGACTAATGAGAAACCTGCAGCTTCTCTAAAAGACAATCATTTAAAAGTGTTATGCCAAAACATAAGGGCAGCTGTGTGTCAGTTCTGTTTTAGCTTTAGGTGTTCACACTAAACCTTATGTTGAAACTAGCGTGAAACTACAATCATCTTTGACTTTAGTCTGTATGCATCTTTTCAGAGCCACAGGAGATGTTTAAAAACTGTTTTCACGGACTGAGTAATCCTCGGCATCACTACTAAATAGACTTTGACGTGTTAAATCTGTAGACATTCTTTGAGATACTTCTCACTGCTCTTTCCTTCGCACCTCATCGTCTCCGTGTCTCACTCCCGTTTCTGGCTCCAGGCATGCGTCCTCTCCACTACGCAGCGTGGCAGGGCAAAGCAGACTCGGTGTTGTTACTGCTGAGAGCCGGAGCTGCAGTCAACTCCTCTTCTCTTGATGGACAGATACCGTTACATCTCTCGGCTCAGTACGGGCACTACGAGGTGGTGAGTACACTAACACACACACACACACACACACACACACACACACACACACACACACACACACACACACACACACACACACACACACACACACACACACACACACACACACACACACACACACACACACACAGCTCAGGTTTCAGAGAGTCAGGGTGAATGGTTGCCTGTTGGAGGGATTGTTCTCAGGGACCCTTCAGGGCTTTTATACCGATGACATTTTCAGCATGACAACAGATACATTTTAAAGTTCTCACTTTTCTGTCTGTTCAATAGAGACGCAGGACGATTTAAAACGATCATAAAAGGTGGCAGCCTTGACTATAAAGCGCTGCTGGATACACTGGGGTTTATTTCATTGTTAAGATTGGAATTTATTCAGGGCAGCTGTCCTTCTCCTTACTGTACTGCACTGTATGTCCTTGTCTTTTTAATGTCTTGTGCTCTGCCTCGCTCAAACACTAGTTGCCCTCAGGGGACCGAATAAAGTACAAGTTGAAGTTGAAGCTCAGACGCCAAAGGCAAAGTTCAAAGGCATAACCAGTCCTCACATTTCACTGAAATCCACCCTCTTTGTGTCTCATCCTGTATTGTCCACCTACAATACCAGTAAGACCATTAAGGCCATGACACAGGAGTGTGAAGGTAGTGAATGTTCACATTCCTGTCCTCCAGCCTCTTCGGTTTGGCTCCTGGGATGTCTTAATGGACATAAACACACCTCAATCTGTCATAAAACCCATAAAGGAGGCATGAGCTCTTCACTTCAACACCATCAAACACAACAAGGACAATCCCAAACAGAAGTATCGTATGTTCCTCTCTTCTGTTCAAAGACAAAACAGCGACACGCACACACACAGAATGTGTCGGGATGACGGACATGTAGGTGTGTGTGCATAATACATGAGGTCGTATCACTTACATTATCCCTTTCTCTTTCAGTCTGAGATGTTGCTGCAGCATCAGTCTAACCCCTGTCTGATGAACAAGGCCAAGAAGACACCGCTGGATCTGGCCTGTGAGTTTGGGAGACTGAAGGTAAGAGAGTATATGTGATTTGTTTGTGTAACATATAAACCATATTGTGCTGCTTTTTCATAAATATAAGCATTTATTAATAGTCTTCAAAACCATAACGGCTGCAGGCTTGGTACAGTGGTTAGCGCTGGTACCTCAGCCAGAAGGTTCGTGGTTTGAATCCCTGTCTGACAGGACCCTCTTTGTGTGGAGTTTGCATGTTCTCTCCATGCATGCGTTGGTTCCTATGGTGTACTCCGGCTTCCTCTCACTGTCCAAGGACATGCTTGTTAGGTTAATTGGCGACCCTTAATTGCTAGTAGGTGTGAATGTGAGTGTGGCTAGATGTCTGTCTCTATATTTCAGCTCTGTGGTTGACTGGCACCTGTCCAGGGTGCATCCCGCCCAATGTTGGTTAGGATCAGCTCCTGCCCCCCATGCTACACTATGTCTCGTTTGTTTTGTCTTCATTAGGTTTTTTTGTGCAGACTATGTTTTGTACCAGTTTCCCATATTTTTAAGGTCTCAGCAAAAAAAAAAAAAAAAAGATAAAATAGTTGCATCAGTTGCATCAGCCGAGAGACATGAAACAGTCTGTAATGGCTGTAACATCCTGCGGGATTGTGTGAGCCCAATCAAAGAACATCCACTAAAAGCTCTTGTTTTGGTCACTGACAGACTCATCGCTCAACAGTAAAAAACACATCTGTCTCTGTCCGAATCTTCAGATGGATTTCAAGCTAAACACATTCCAAGTATGTCATACATTTGTGTTAAGTATCCCCTCAAATTAGGATGTGAAATAACTTTGACTGGAAGTCATTAGGCAGAGAATTAAAGGGTTGAAACTTTTAATTTTATATGTTGTACAGTTTCTAAGCGACCTTAAACATACGCTTGGTATAATTGTCTAACAATAACTTCTTACTGTATGACTGACATACTGATACACATATTTGTAATGAGCTCAAAATTGCCAATTAAAGGATTTCTGCTCCAGCACTCTGAAGGATTTTGTAATAATGTGATGAATTCTACTCTATCGCTGCTCTTTTCATTGAGGGATTCAGAGACTTAACCTCCGTGTAGTGATATGATTCATTCATGCAGTGAACTAATCCAATAATTTGCATGTAGAAACTCAGTTTTTTGCCCCTTTTTGGATGCCGATGGCCGATATCAAACATGAACCGGGGCTTAGATGAAGTGACCCAGCTGAATTAAGCTTGTTTGAGCGAAAGGAAAGTAGGGCTCTCTGTGGATACATGCACACTGAAACATTAGAAGGATTGCCAGATCACTATGCTTTACTTTCTCTGTCACATTGGCGGATAAACCCAGTAATTCAGAATTAGACTCACACACATTTCTATGTCTGTTAAATGTCCTCATGTCTGGTCTGAGTGTGCAATTTGGCTTACAAATGGCAGATTCTGGCTGGTTTTGAGACTCTGGGAGTGACTGGATGCTGCGGTGTCTTCAGACAGCTAGATAAGCCTCTGTGTACTAGTTTGACCCTCTGTGTTAGTCGCTATACATATTTTCAATCCATATATTTCCGAACAACCTCAGCTAGCTCGGCTTTGCATACATATTAACGTCTCCAGCTAAGTCGGTAATTCTCGCTCTGATTCTGCCACTCTTCTGTCCTCACAGCCAACGCTTCAGCTTCATTTTCTCCGTGTTTGATTTTCTCGGCAGGTGGCTCAGTTGCTGCTGAGCAGTAACATGGTGGCAGCGCTGTTAGAGGGGGAGGGAGGAGACGACAACATGGACGGTCCATCCCTCACACCTCTCCACCTGGCAGCCAGGAACGGACACAAAGACATCATCAAGTAAGATCACAGCGAGCTGTGGTGTTGAAATGTTCTATAGTATAACTGTAGCACGCCAATATCTCATCAGTCTCCAGAGTGTCAAGTGGTGATCCATGTACATGCTCAGTGACTTTCAAGTTGAGTGACTTGTGTTCATTTCAAATCTTTTCAAAAGTGTTTGATAACTGCATCTGAGGGATCAACACAATAGATGTGTTTATCAAGATCTAAGAAAGATACCGGCTGATATATCGGTATCAGATTTTTTCTCTCCCCAATATCGATATAGGCCCCAAAATCTCATATCGGTCGGGCCCTAGTTTTGAGACTACCTAAGGTCAACCAGTCAATCGACTATCACTTGAGTAAAGCTGCTGGGATATGATTGATGCTGAGTTTCAATCACACTCAAAGTAATATTCTTTCTTTATTTCCCTATAGTTGAATATTATGATAATGTTTTACAAGAATGATTTAAAAATCAACAATAAAAAAAGACTCCAAAATGTGCAGAATCAAGACCCCTAAGAAAAGCTCAGTAAAGAGAACACGCTTCATCAAATGAAATGGTCATACACAGGCTGCCTGTTTATTTATTTGTTTAATTTTATTTAAATCAATGCTCAGTTCAACCTCCTCAGGTAGCATCTCACTAACTGTTTGCACCTCAGGTTAAAAAACAAAAGGGAACTGAGTGTTCTCTGTTCAGTTTCCCCTGCTGCAGAAAAACCTGCCTAAGGAACTCTGGTTTTTAAAATACATCAGTATCCTCTCTTAAATCACATTTTATATCATAGGGTGCCTCTTCATTCTGCATTTTATCCCCAGTATATCATTAATCTCTTTAATGAACCACTGCTCCTCTGTTCCCCCTTTTAATATCTGTTTAATGCTTAAATGGTGGGTATTTTATCGTTAGATTTTGAAAAGCACTTTGTAACGCTGGTTTTAAAAAGTGAAATACACAAATAAACTAAATTAGCATTTTTAGCACAATAAAAATGACGGAAAAGGCTGTTACTACTGCTACAAATGTTCCTACTGGTTCTTCTAAGGCTGGCTTAATGATTTTCAAATCTTCACTGATTTTATAAAACATGGGAGACCACAGACATGAGGACATTCTAAACTGATTTTTAACGTTATAATCCTCTGAATGCACACACTAGACGACTCGGCCACACTCCCAGACCCAGAGACCACACACCTGCTGTTTGTAGTGACTTCAAAAGAAAAACAAATATGGAGGACACTCAACATCGTCGGCTGGTTCTATTGGCATGTGTTCTGTTTTGCAGCGAAAAAAGGGTGAAAAAGAATATGGGTGAAATACTGGCTAAGAGGATGGTATAGGCGTGTCATGTTCACTGCCATGTATGTCGGCTGTAACCTTTGTAACTTTTGCTGCTTTGCTAAAGTGCTCATGATGGATTAAGCTGGGTCTCTGTAATATAACATTAACTAAGGTCTTTTACCTGCTTTTTGTAAAGTGTCTTGAGATAACACTTGTTATGAGTTGACGCCAGAGGTGGGGGACACGACTCGAGTTGCAAATTTGAGGACTTGAGACTTGCTTGACTGACAGTGATAAAAGACTTGACTTAGACTTGAGACAGATGACTTGAAATGACTTTACTTTTAGGACTTTTATTTTGCCTTTTTCAAGGAACGGGGATTTATTTTATTTTTTAAATTTCTTTAATTTACCAGCAGCAGAGGCTAGGCCAAAACAACAGGCACCTAGGGCGCGATCACACTGGCAATCCGTACCGTGCCTATAAGCACGCTTCACCCCTAAAGTCCAGTTTGTTTGACCAGTGTCTGACCAGTGTTTGACTCCACGCTTCGGAGAGGTGTACTTCGGCACGGTACAGTTCATGCACGAGCACAACCACACAGGTACACAACGTTGTCATCCTTCATTTTGGAGAAATCCACAGTGTTCTGTCTGTACCTGACTCATGACTCAATACAAGCCACAAAATAGCTTTCATGTTTTCTGTGTTGTTCTCCAATGTACAGACACGGACCCGGCCGCGCGTAATTTTATTTATTTATGGCTGTGTATCTGATTAAAATGACTTACCGGTACAATAAGACACATAGTCAGTAAAGTAGCTGTCATGCTCTCTATGTTGTTCTCCGATGCGCAGACGCGGACTCGACTGCTTGTTTGTAAAATGAGCAATCTTCATAATAACATAAAGCTATGCATGTGCTGTATTACGACGTTATATACAAGAGGTAACCGTACTTGTACTTGTGTTTTGTATTTACAATAATTTAGGATTATTGCATTCTATTGGCATTCTATTTTAGAGGCTTAAGCATCCGATTTAAAGTCAGAAAAATAATGCTACAAATGTACAAATAAACTAATAAGGTAAAATGGACAGGAAAAATGCTGAATAAATTGTTAGTATTATTATAATCTCTAACATTGTAGTACAAGAAACAGAAGGGTATCAGGTATACCTCATTATTAAGCTAATATTAAGAAAAACTACTTAAAGATGACCGTTGTCTTAACTGACGTCATGTGGAAACTGGGTAATCAGAATTTTGTATGACTTGACTTGTGACTTGCTTGACCTGAGCAATGACTTGACTTGCTTGATTGTCACCGCAGGAACTTGCAACTGGCTTGAGATGTGAAGGTTGAGACTTGAGACTTGCTTGTGACTTGTACATGTGTGACTTACTCCCATGTCTGGTTGACGCTATACAAATAAAAATTGATTGATTGATTGATTGATTGATTGATATCTGATTGGCGGTGTTCCCAGTCTCCTCAAGCTCTCCCGCTATTATTCCATCGGAGGCAGCCTGTCCTGACATAGGGCCTAAAATCATCTAGTAGTGATTTATTCAAGACCACACCAACCGAGACCAAGACATACCCAAGAACAGGGTGCTCAGAGACCGAGACAAGACATACAGGGATCAAGACAGAGTCAAGACCAAGATCAAGGCAGGACAAGACCAAGACATACAGGGATCAAGACAGAGTCAAGACCAAGAAATTTAGGGATCAAGACCGAGTTAAGACCAAGGCAGGACGAGACAGAGACAAGACCAAAATATTTAGGGTTCAAGAATGAGTCAAGATCAAGACCAAGGCAGGACGAGACCGAGACAAGACCAAAATATTTAGGGTTCAAGAATGAGTCAAGATCAAGACCAAGGCAGTATGAGACAGAGACAAGACGGAGTCAAAATGCTTTAAATTCCGTGACGAGACCTTCAAAAAGTGGTCTTGAAACCGGAACTATCGTCTAGTGTGTATCCATCCTAAAGAAACAATTTGAACTACTTCAACCATTACGTCATAACTAAGGTTGTCTAGTTACCACTTTTATTATTTCTACAGTACTGTCACTTCGACAGTTATTAGCAATACCGCTTGTGCTACGACAGGTATAATGACTTCCACATCTGCGTTACGCTGATACGCCACCGAATATCAACATCTGTGTGTCAGATCTTTATTTACTGCTGCAGGTGATAAATATTTCCCCTCAGGTAGCTCCAGGAAACAAAACTGTAAAAGCAGAAACATTCAGGAAGAACTCAGTCTGAACTGATATTTAATACCCATGACTTCAGATACCCTGGAGGGGCTTTGTGTGTTATGCCAGCATCTCTGAGTAAATATGTGTGAACTCAGCCAAGTAACTCCACCCTGCCTCTCAGACGCGCTGCTAATGATTCCCATCCTGAATTAGCAACACCCGCTCCTCCTGCTCCTCCTCTCTCCTCCTGCTGAACTGGAAAGTTGAACATCAGACGGAGGAGGAGAGAAATGTTGAAGCGTTCAACAAAGAAGAAAAAATATCCACAGCTTTAGCACACAAGTTTTTTTGGGGGAGTTTAGTCAGCAGAATTTGGCTGTGATCTCTCACTGAGGGATTTATGTCTCTTGAAAGACTTTCAGACTGATACAGCACACACGTCTTATGTTACCTACTTTTTGTGTGGCTGCAGGAGCTTTCAGGGCGGGTTAGAACTGGAGTGTGAACATTTTGTCCCAGGGAAATTTTTAAGATTAAGTCGTTCATTAAGTAGAAACTCGATCTTTGTGGGATAATAACAGAATCTGTGACTTAAAAAAGTTTGATTGGTTAACTGTAAATTATATTTAAATGTCTGAATATATTTATATTTTATTTTTAGGGAAGTCACTCGTTCAGAAGAATCGAATAGTAAATACTTTATGGTAAACTTCTGAGTTAGTAATTAGCACCCATCAAGTACGATTGTTTTTTTGCATTGGCGGATGAATTTGCTCAACATAACGGAGTGATTTGTGACAATTAACAAAGTTTTTTGAATCTCCTGCATGAAGCGCACAGGGCTCCGTCTCCTCCTCGTGTCAGTGTTTACTATGATAGATCATGAGACTGAACCTATACAGACACTGATAGGTGATGTTCTGAAATGGCTTGACTCGTGTCTCTTTAGACCGAGATAATATTTAACACAACTCTGAAATACAAACGTAGGATAGAAACAAAACCTCACAGATTCCCTAGTTCACCTCAAATAAAGTGGTTGGGTAAAAAAAAGTAGTGACTGGTATATTTTTGAATCCACCAGTCACAGTGGCAGGTAGGCGAAAGGGTTCATTTCCAACGGAGGTATACTTTCGGACAGACTGTTTCATACACATCCAGTTTCCATAAATCTTAAAGGAGCAATATTTAACTCTGACACCTAGTGTTTAAAATGGGTACTGCAGTCCCTCTCCTTTCTAGAGTCGATGCTCATGCTGGTTGCCATGTGGTAAACACTGAAGCTTCAGTGTTTAGCGAACTCTGACAACTCTACTTGGAAACATAACTTTAAAGAGAGAGGATGCAGAAGTATAGCTTTGATCAAGTTTGGATCGAGTAAACATTCAGAACACACACACACACACACACACACACACACACACACACACACACACACACACAGACACGCACACAAACACGCACACACACAAACACATGTCCTCCTCGTCCTCCTCTTGTTCCCCTCCCTGGTTTTTCGACGCCATCAGCATTCCTACATCTGGGCAACTGTCAGAAGCAGAGTCATGTTTGATAATGTGTGTGTGGGTGTATGAGTGGGAGGTACACAGCTTAATGAGATGTTGCAGATGTCTGTAACAGTTGAGAGGAGTGTTGCCTGCAGCTTTACATGAATGTTTGTGTTTTTCTCAGGTTGCTGCTCAAAGCCGGGATTGACATCAACAGAAGCACTAAAGCGGGGACGTCTCTGCACGAGGCTGCCCTCTATGGAAAGACCGAAGTCGTGCGATTGTTGCTTGATGTAAATATAAAACCTATTTGTCAGAGTACATCAATACATAGTATTAGGCAAGTATAGCAATAGGGATAAATTGTGAAGCACTGTCTTTGTATCAGGGTAGCATGTTGTAGCCGTAGCAAAGACCTTATGCCAAAAAGTAAAATGTAAAAGTGGAGTCAGTAGGCATGTAAGTTGCAGCTTGTAAACACAACATTCAAACTGGACCCCTCCTCCAGGGCTCATCGCCACCTGATGCTCACCCTCACTTCTGGATGTAGTGTGTACGTTTACTGCTTGTAGCTACACTGCAAGCTAACGCACACTAGCTAACCGCTGGTGTTTGTCACCTGCCTGTCCAACAGGAAGCAGACCAACTCCACATCCACGGGTAAAAGACAACACAGGGTTCACCCTCGTTTTAGAACAATTTTTATCCGCTTGGTGTTTCACCTCACTATAATTTTCTCCTCTTTGCCGCTAACTCCACGTCCGTCATATTCGCAAGTTTGAATGTTGTCCAATCTATGAATCATATCCACTATTAAACTCACCTGCTGAGCTGTCATTGGCTGGAGGTAACACACCAGCTCCACCCAGAAACGTCCTGAGTCAATTAAAATAAACCGCAGAGGACATGGCCTCTGCAGACGCTGTCACCACCACACATGTACGGAGGCCCAGAAGGGACGATGGAGCAGCTTTACTTTAGGAGAAATCTGTGTTTTATTTTGTAGGAAAAACAGCTGACTCTGCCTTTAACTAAACTAGAAATTAGGTGATTTTGTTCAATTAAAATAGTGGAATCTGGATTTATAATCTTTACGGTCTTGGAGTTTCATCCAACATTATGAACATTCACCTCTGTTGGTTATGAAATAACTGAAACTATCTGACACACAAACCGTGTAAACAGACCACTGTGTCGGGGTGAGGTCATCTTTAGCATGATCCTGTTTAAACCGAAATCTAAAATAACTTGACTCCTTATTCTTAAACGATCTTACATGTACACTTTCCAGACTTCACACTGCAGTTCAAGTGTTTTTCTTTAATAAGGGAGGAAGGCATTTGAGGGATGGTTTGTTTTAAAAGTGCACCTCACCGACCCAGTAATAAAAAATGTGTGTGCGTGTGTGTGCGTCTAGGCGGGCATCAATGTGAACATACGCAACACTTACAACCAGACAGCTCTGGACATCGTCAACCAGTTCACCACCTCCAGCGCCAGCAGGGAAATCAAACAGCTGCTCAGAGGTCAGGAACTTCTTGATGTTTTTATTCCATGTGTTGTTTTTTTTAGATGAGACGGAGGAAAGTGTGGGGACGAGGTTACTAAATGATGTAGAGAGAATTCACTGGAGCATTTGTCTGCTGTTTGAGCTTGATGATATGCCTTTTTTTTTTTTCCAGAAGCATCCTGTTCTCTGCAGGTCAGAGCGGTGAAGGATTACTGGAACCTCCACGACCCGACTGCTCTTAACCTCAGGGCTGGAGAACTTGTTATGGTACGTGTTTCTGTCAACTACAGAAAGTCACAGCAGGTTGACTCAGCAGAACTCTGGTTTTTACTCAAGTTGTTGTATCTCTGCAGACTCCTCGTATTTCATCCTTTTTTTTGTCTTGAAGCTCAACTAGGAAACTGAACCATTATAATTTATGAAGGGTCAAATAGACCATAAAAGGGATTCAGGGTGGGGCTAACTGTGACTGACAAGTTTAACAGTTTATTAAGAACGTCTTGTCCTGATGCCAGACGAGAGCAGGAGCAGGCGGCCACTGACCAAAGTGCGCCGCCTCCCCCTCGTTTCAGAGCGGGTGTGCTGGGATGGCATCCAAAATGCCTCCACCCCCCACACGTCCATTTTGGACGCTCCTTGGTTTGCCAGATATGATTCCAGTTATCAGGTCAAACCAACAGGTGTTGCAGCGATTGTAAGCGGGCAAGAGAACTGGTTCAGATAGAAGTGATTGTACCCGACCTAAAAAGCCTCTGCATGTTTCTAATAAGCTCCACGAGCAGAAACGTGCTCAAACTAGGATCAGTATTGGAGATGCTTTTGAAAAATGGAGAGAGGTTAGAACGCAGAAAGGTTTACAGACCGATGCAGAGCTGGATAAACACTGAAGCTTCAGTGTCCACCACATGGCAACCTGCGTGAGCATCGACTCTAGAGAGGAGGGGGCGGGGGGAGACAGCTTTCACTGAGGTTTTGAATTTGGACTGCAGTACCCATTTTAAACACTAGGTGTCAGAGTTACATATTGCTCCTTTAAATTATACTGGTTAAAAAAATGAATGTTTGGTAAAAAAACGTCACTTTGTTGGATGAAGGTAGAAACTGGCTCAGGTTTCTAACAGCGTATTTTCTTGAGACCACAGGGAAGCAAAAACTACAAATATTCCACTCTTATACTTTAAATCACAGGCAGAGTATTTCAGTGATGATTATACGATGGAGACCTTCCTGAGTGAATCTTGTTGTTGGGATTTGTTTGTGATGTTGCAGTGTAATTTGGTGTACCCTCTACAGGAGACCACAGCAGAGGAACAGGCTCAAACATGCTGCCGTCACTCTCTCATTACAGACTTTGTTTTCATGTGCGGACATCTTGGCTTGTTGTTGTGCTCACTGTGTGTATTTTGATATCTTTGTATGAGTCTCTGTGACGTCTCAGACTCCTGTATGAACTCGTATGTTGTTGTGTGGTGTTTGTTTACATCCTCTTTGGGCATTTTGTAAACACTCACAATGAATAAGTTGTGTATTTCCAGCTCTCATTAAAGTCTTAAAGCATTTCTGGAGGACTCACAAACACGACTACATGTTTAGAGGTGATGCAACGCTGACAACAGAGAACCTGTTCAACTTGCTCTTAACGTTAATCAAACCTCAGACTTTACATAAATAACTAGTCGGTGATTTGTTCATGTTCCTCTGTCTGTGATTGTGAACTGTCGTGAGGTTTACAGAAAATTTAAGCATGCTGATGATTTGTCGCCGCCAGGTCCTGGAGCAGCACTCAGACGGCCGCTGGAAGGGTCACATCCATGACAGCCAGCGGGGGACCGATCGAGTGGGCTTCTTCCCCCCCTCAGTGGTGGAGGTCCTCAGCAGACGAACAGGTAAACAAACAAACAACACACAATGGTGAAAGTAGTCATGTAAATTTAAGGTGCTTTGGTATTTAGTTTTTCCCGCTTCTTGTTACTTTTGTTTATTAAGACTTATTTAATGTTATTAAGAGACAGGACTGATCCGATCTTATCTGTATTGGGTCCGATTTGAGCTAGCCAATCGGAGGAGAGTGGGCCAGCGGGGGGGCCTTAAAGAGACAGCAGCGTTAATGAGGCGTTTAGGGCGGAGACTAAAACAAGGGATTTTACAGAGGCCAATATCAGATAAAGAAGGAGGTTTTTGAGCTACACATCTCGTAACGCTACTCAAAATGTGTCCCAGACTGACATAATAAATGGTCAAAGTGAGTTTAATAGATCTCTTTAACATCAGTGCATCCCTAGTTTATATAGTGGTCACCTCATACTCCATAAACAGAGAAGGAATACATTAAAAATGAAATTCTTCTTACAGTAAATCAGACCTCTGAGAGCAGAGCGAGACTAAATGTTTCCTCTCCAAAAGCGTGACTGTTGTAACTCTGTCCCAGGGCCAGATGAAAACCTCCACTCTGAGCTGACAGAGCGGTGGTAAAGAGCTAACTGAACCCAGAGGTTATAACTGGGCTAAGAATTCAAGTCGACCCTCGTGCACAGACAGGATCTGTCATGTTGGCATGCACGATCACTGGACGCTTCGCTAAATCATCATATTTAATCCCTGAGAATAAAAGGAAAATGATCTCAACGCTTGTTCTGCAGCCGTAAAGCCACTGACATTCAAACAGCGAGACGGGCTCGCACAGTGAGGGCTCCAGTAACAGCAACGGACAGGGATGCACAAACGCAAACACACACACGCAGGCTAAATCATTTCTGGGTCTTCAAGAAGCCAGGCAACACACACACAAACGCAGATACTCACACACACAGACACACATTAATAGGATTACTACGGCCAGATTGCAAAGTGTCAGCTCAGTGCTAAAGCCCTCACAGTCTGCGTCGGGAAATTGTGTGTGTGTGTGAGAGTGTGTGTGTGTGTGTGTGTCTGCTCATGCTTGAGGGAGAAGATACAACAGAAAGAGAGTTTGACTTTAAGTCGTTGACAGGCTCTTTGCTTATGAGGCAAACTCAGCTGTGAGTGTGTGCATTTGTTTGTGTAAGTGTGTGTTTGTGCGTGTGTGTGCTTGTGTGTGTGCTTGTGTGCTTGTGTGCGTGTGTGAGTGTGTGTGTGCGTGTGTGTGTGTGCTTGTATGTGTGTGCCTGAGCTGTGCGATAATGTCAATGGTGTCAGCAGCTGAGGACCAACAACACACAAAGGGAAAGTAAGCCCTTCTAGCGTCGCTGGTGATCTCACATTCCCATTCAGCAACCTCTTATGTAACACAGGGAGGATTTACACTGAATTTGTTCTTTTTTAGCAGATTGTTAATAAACAACAAAACATCGTAAGTCCATAATGTGCTCACGCGACTTCAAAAAGTTGATTTTACTGCAGTCTTGAAGCTCACTCCTGTGCATGCAGCTCAAACTATCCAGCACACATGCATGAACATGAACTTCTCTCCCTCACTCGTGCATGCCAGCCTCACCTCATTCCTCTCTCCCTGACACTAGGGGGCACTCTCACCCGCCAAGCTTCAAAACCTCGCCAGCGACAGCACTTTGCATCCAGAGCTCCTTCCTCAAGCAACAGTCCCGCCCCTCAGTCCGAAGACTCACTTGGCTATGATCCCACAGGTAGAAAAGCACACACACACACACACACACACACACACACACACACACACACACACACACACACACACACACACACACACAGCAGGTTCTGTCCATCTGTTTGTTTTCTGTTCACCACCTGTGATCCGTTCATCGTTGCCCAGGCGACAATGGATTATTGAACAGGTACACCAGGCTCAGGCGGAGGGGCACATGAGGGGCAAAGAGTCTCTGTTTGAAACATAAAAGACACAAAACGACAAGAGACGGTACAAAACTTCAAAACCAACAAAAAAACAACCCCAAAGGAAAGTGAAACAACAAATTCAATCTTATTGGGCCCATTGATATTAAGGGCGCACTCACACTAGGCAACCGGTACAAAGTCCAGTTCGTTTGACTAGTGTGAGTGCTCGGTACTCTTCCTTGGTCCTGGCACACTTTCAAGAGGTGTGCTTCGGCACAGTACAGTTCATGTTTATTTACTGTCTATAAATGTAATACCATAAAACTGACAAGGAGACACACAAAGACTATAACTCATCTAAAAATGTATGAAAACATGTGCAAATGAATCAAGACGTGATGCAAAATGACCCCAAAAAGCGACATTTAAAACACCACAAAGAGGGTTTTTCTGTTTTAGAGTTGTTGCTGATATGTAGCAGGACCTGAGTCCCATTGTTTCATAATCCGTTGATGTTCCCTGGTTTCACATTTCCCTCCCGATCTGCCCCTGTAATCCAGGCCTCCTCTCGATCACGCCTCCTGTGCTCAGCGTTGGTAGGAGTAAACAGTGAAGTGTGTGTGTGTGTGTGTTTGTTAGGTGCTTCTTTCGACAGTCAGCTCCCAGCCCCAGCTAGTCCTGCTAGCCCCACTCAGGACGTTTGGGTCCTCAGGAGCTCGCCCAGCGGTAAGGGTGTGTGGTCCCAAAAAAAACCCTGCTACCCCAGCCCACCCAGTTTGAGCCTTTAGACTAGATCCAACCCCAGCAGCTCTGATAAACACTGCGTCTTTCAGGAAGCTTATTCCCATCTTTATCCCTTTATATCCCAACGTCTTGACCTCACCATGCCACCCTGCAAATCCAACCCCACCCCCAACCTGCCCCGCTCTGACCCCAATAATCCATAACCAGAGTTTACTCACAGCAGGACGACGTGGTGAGTGAGCAGCTCTGCTTTACAGACTTTTCTTTGACTCCTCTGTTTCTCCTCCTCACTTCTGTCTCAGGGCTTTTTTCTGCAGCTTTCTAGTGCAGCTGTCTCCGTCCTGAATGTCTGCACCGTAAATAAGAACATGATCGAAAATTATCTTAACAAGTCCTTTCTTCTGGTGTGTTAGCGCAAATGCATTTAAAGGAGCAATATGTAACTCTGACACCTAGTGTTTAAAATGGGTACTGCAGTCCAAATTCTAAACATTGTAGAGAGCTGTCTCCTCCTGCCCCTTCCTCTCTAGAGTCGATGCTCACGCAGGTTGCCATGTGGTGGACACTGAAGCTTCAGTGTTTATCCAGCTCTGCATCGGTCTGTAAACCTTTCTGCGTTCTTACCTCTCTCCATTTTTCAAAAGCATCTCCAATATTGATCCTAGTTTGAGCTCGTTTCTGCTCGTGGAGCTTATTAGAAACATGCAGAGGCTTTTTAGGTCGGGTACAATCACTTCTATCTGAACCAGTTCTCTTGCCCGCTTCCATCACTGCACCACCTGTTGGTTTGACCTGATAACTGGTCTCATATCTGGCAAACCGAGGGGCGTCCAAAACGGACGTGTGGGGGTGCCTTAAAACTCTATCCACTGTCCTATCTCTCGATTAAAGGCACAAAAGCCCAAAAAAAAAGTATGAACTTCAGATACTTTGACGTCACAGATCTGCTCTCAGAAATAAAACTTATCGGTATATCGTTTTAAAACTGTAATACGACGTGCATCCATTTCTCGACTATTTAGCGTAGAGAAAGAAAGTACTGATCCTACTCAAGCTTGGAGCAGTGAATGGAAGGTCCTGATTGGTTAAATAAGGTATTCATTGAAAGGTCAGAGTGCATGAATTAGTACAGGAGCCTCTTGTTGACGTTATCCACCTCCAGTTTACGCTCTAAAAAGCTTTTCTCTCTTGAAATTCTCTTCAGCTATAAGTCCACATTGTGATCTCTCTCTGTCTGTTCTTCTTCTGTTTGTCTTTTTTTGTTTCTCTCTCAGGTGACAGAAACAGTGTTGGCAGCTCGGGCAGTGTGGGCAGCAGCCGCAGCGCCGGCAGCGGTCAGAGCTCGGAGAGCGGACACAAACAGAACGGGACTCAAAATCGGCATAACGCTGAAAACGGCAAGGTTAGATCTGCTCAGGAGTCTTGTATACGTACCAAGTCTTCCAACACTATTTATAATTACAAGGTTCCTTCCTTTAATGACTTTAACGGCACAAGACATGGAGGATGTCTCTTCTACGATCATGCTTTTTACGTCTCGTTGTCATGAACTTATTCCAAGAGAAATTCTCTGGATTCTCTGACCACATTGCATTTTCTGCAAGGTGCCTCAGCAAATTCAGAGATTCAGTAGTTTATCTCATTGTATGTTCCTTCACGTGTCTGTTTGCAGATGGCACCCTCTGCTGGTGATTTAGGAGAACATCTCCACACTTTGGGAACGGAGCAAAGCAAACAGGCAGATGGAACCACAGGTGAGTCAGGCAGCACTTTGTGTCCTTCTTATAGATCACATTAGATTTACTTATTGTCCCCCAGGGAGAAAGGTCTTTGGGCAGTATTGCAAAAGGACAAATATACAGCGGAGTGCAACAACAGAACAGCGAAGATCTGCAACCGCACCAACTAGGACATGCAAATACGAAATAAATAAGGTTGCATCACCCGTTCCTAGAGGGGCTTTGTGTCAGTTAAAGATTTTTTTTAAGGAGGTGTTCGCACAAAAGTATGAAAGCTTAAATAATTGACATCGATTTTATCAGACAGGTGCAGAGGGAGAGAAATAAAACCATCAAAATATTGCAGACAATCTCCCGCTCAGTGGCTTAATTGCACAATTACATTATGTTGCTGATATGTTGCCAATGTTTTTGTGCAGTTAAGACAGCGTGCAGATGTGTTCCTGCAACTTTTTACACATTGAAAAAAGTGTATGCACTTCCAGCTATCTCATGAAGTAATAGTCATGTGAAAAGAAAAATTCCTGCACACTACTCCAGCTAAGCATCACCAGTTTCTCAGAAAGAATCACAACGTTTTGTTCCTCTGAACCTTTGTCGAGTGTGTTGTGATTTTTTTTCTAATAAATTGGTGATGCTTAGCAGGAGTCGTGTGCAGGATTTTTTTCTTTTCAAGTGTCAGTAACAGATTAAAACAGAGAAGTTAAAACAATTGCCAACAAGTGAAGAGCAACAACAATTCAAATGTGCAAAATGATTCACAGATAAAGTGCAGAAGTTGTGATCACTGATTTCATTTCAGAAACACATCATCTCGTGTTTCATGTGCACATTTCTTCACCGTCTCACACAGATGCCTGACTCTGAATCAGCACTGTTTGCTTTATCCACTGAGGAGCTTAGAAGAGAGTCCGCTGTGAGCTGCACTTTCACAGGGGCAGAGAATCTTTGAAGGTGGTGACGGTGGTTTTTAACTTCTCCACCTCTTCAGATAAAGCCGCCCAGCTCAGAGCCGTCTCATCCTCACACAGACCACCTGACGATCCCGCCTCTCTCTTTCATACAGTTTCCGAAGAGTCATGAAGTCTTAGCCGTAATCCTGCTCTGACCACGTTTCGTTCCCTGCTGTGATTCATGATGAGAAGATGCTAAGTCTTTTCACTTGTGGTCGTCCTTGTGCTTCATTTCCAACATAGAGGAGGCTGGCAGAAGTGATTACATTTCTAAATTTTCTAAATCTCCGTATAAACTGATATTCATCACTGGTTATAAAAGCCACAAAATACATACCGTACAAAAACACAATAATATTAGCTGACATAGTGAGAATCTGCTGACAGCAGCTCCATCAAAAACAGACCAGAAGGACCCAGCTGAGGTCAAATACAATCTGAAACACAACAATAGCATCATGTTGTTGTTTTAAAGGAAAAATGTGCGATTCATGAGCAACCAGTAGATGTCGCCCCTTGAGCACCAGCATGACACCAAAACAAACTGCCGATTGGCCACTCCTCCTCCACACTGAAGCCTCCGCTCTCCTCCAGCGATTCACCTCCAACTGATATATTTATGAGTAACATGTCGCACAGTCTTCCTTTAAACCAGGGATGTCAGAGTTCTATTGGGTCGGGGGCCGTATTTGTTCAAATGAGACCTCAAGTGGGCCGGACTAATTTTGCCAACATCACTATAACTCAACACATGGATATATAGGCTAATGTATGATTGTATAGAAAACTTTAACATTAACATTAAGCAGAGGGGTTAACTCTGTCATTGCAAACTGCATGTTGGCACATGGAAATATTTAAATGTACCACATTACAGAAGAAAATATCAATAATTATGTTTTGTTTGAGATTATTATATTATATTTAAATATTGGTGTTCAAGGTTATAGAAACTTTGACTCAGGTTATTCTACCTGCCCTGGGATGAGAGAGAGAGAGAGAGAGCGAGAGAGCGAGAGAGAGAGAGAGAGAGAGAGAGAGAGAGAGAGAGAGCCATCTCCGTGCGCAATTCGAGAAAGCATTTTAGCGCTGCTCCTCGGTTAAACCAGCAGACCTCTGTATGATTGGACAGCCTGTGATATCATTTTTGGATAAGAATGAAATGTTCAGTAATAGTTATATTTTTACAGTCTGATGAAAGCTGGTGTTTTTACAATAAGAGGTAAAACTAGTCGGGAGATGCATCAGGCTCAACGTCTGGATGTGAGGAGACGGTCTGGGCCGTTACGCATGGCGGAGATGATTGTTTTTTATTTGCACGAGCTGCTCTTTGTGGCTTACTCCATAGGAAGCTTTGTTATCATCACTAAAACTTTTGTTTTACATCAGTCAAGACAGGAGAAACTGGTAAGAAGTGTGCACAGAACTGAAGACCGTCATGATGCGCACGCAGTGCAGCGGTGTGCCTGTCATTTAGTCCCGTAGCTTTGATAAAATTCTGGCAACTTGTGAGCAAATAAAACTAAAGAAATATCGCTCCTTCGATCTCTCTTGAAAACCTGCATTCTGTGTCACCTCTCTCAGGTATTCAGGCTGTTTTCTGATGTGATGTATTACCAGCGTAATGCAGGAGCAGCTCATCTTTTTTATAATACTCCCTGCTGAGAAAATAGTTCAAAGTGCCCCCTTTAATTCATATTTGTATCATGATATCAACCTTTACGTTGCTCATTTTACATAGGTTTTAATACAATTCGGGGAAAATACGTATTACAAATATTTAATTTATAAAAATATTTTTCAATACATTTCCTCCTTCTTCCCAAAACGTCTCGCGGGCCGTATGAAACCTGCTGTCGGGCCGTATGCCTGACATCCCTGCTTTAAACTGATACGATGCCGCTAATATGAATCAGCTGCTGCAATCGGTGGGTTACAAATGATTTGCTGATGGTCAAGTATCTGTGAACACTGATACTCAGTGCATCTCTAGAATATGTTTAATGATATAATTCTACATAAATATAAGAAAATATACTGATATTGTTACATTTTAAACACTCCTACTTGAGCTTACTCACACCTGAAGAATGCTGTTAAAGACAGATGCCGTATGAAGCCGTGTGTTTGTTCTGCAGGTTGTGATGTTGTTGAGTTCAGTCTGAACGGAAATGAGCTGAGAGCAGAGCCAAAAAGCTTACCTTACCTCCCCACAGAAACCAATAAAACCACCAAAAAAATAGCTTCTCTCAAACACACAACCAATAAAAGCAGCCGATTACCTCCCTGAGACAACAACACTAAACTGTGTGTGTCTGTGTGGTTGTGTTCTTGTGTGTGTGTGTGTTTGTGTGTTTGTGTGTGCACAATGTTTGATCTGAACAGCAGGTGCACAGAAATCACGCACACACACACACGTTGCAGCTTTACTTTTGTCTGAAGCTTTACTTTTGTCTGAAGCTTTTTTCAGCTCAGATCTTTTGAAATGTTGAGGAGTGACGCGCTGGATGAGTCGGAGGATCTCTATTTGAGTGTCGGAGTGAAGGAGAAGAGAAATGAGGAGGGGGGAGGGAGAGTGAGAGGGAGGAGTCAGAGGGAGGAGACAGGAGCAGAAAGAGAAAAACACATGAGACAGGGAGAGAAAGAGAGAGAGAGTATCTGACTGAAGTTGTAGAAACGATAAGAGTGAGAGAGGATGAAGTGTCAAACATCAGGAACTCTGTCCGTCTCCTTCCTCCTGAATGGTAAGAAATCATGACGGGATGTTTGATGTTCTGACTGCAGGGGATTGATCATCATTTGAGTTTCTAGATTCTGAAATGAAATGTGTCTGTTAACTTTAGAGAGGAACCTGACAAAAGTCCCTGAAGGATTTGTTCTGATGTTCAGATTTGCAAGGACAAAGATTTACAGTCCTTTTTTGTGTGTGCAGATTTTCTTCCATAATGTTTTACAGGTGCAAAGAAGTGTACGTGTTCGGGTTGTCTCAACTTGTTTTGACAAAATATGAGTCAGTTGTTTGCTGGAGCGTAAAACACTCGACCAAAACGCTGATTAGGTTTAGTCTCCTGCCCTGAGGTCAAATACCTCTTTCCTAGGTGTGTTTATCTCTCTCAGGAGAGAGCAGAGCCTCAAAAACAAAACACAGAGAAATGAAAAAAAACTGAAAGATAAACTAGTTCGAATCTGGAAGCTGGAAGTTGTTTGCTTTCTGGGCATCTGAATTTTTTTATCAACCAACTTAATACTTTAAAGGAGCAATATGTAACTCTGAAAAAATGAGTACTGCAGTCAAAATTCAAAACATTGTAGCTCTCCCCCCCGCCTCCTCCTCTCCAGAGTTGATGCTCACGCAGGTTACCATGTGGTGGACTCTGACGCTTCAGTGTTTATCCAGCTCTGCATCGGTCTGTAAACCTTTCTGTGTTCTAACCTCTCTCCATTTTTCAAAAGTATCTCCAATATTGATCCTAGTTTGAGCACGTTTCTGCTCGTGGAGCTTATTAGAAACATGCAGAGGCTTTTTAGGTCGGGTACAATCACTTCTGTCTGAACCAGTTCTCTTGCCCGCTTCCATCACTGTAACACCTGTTGGTTTGACCTGATAACTGGTCTCGTATCTGGCAAACCGAGGGGCGTCCAAAACGGCCGTGTGGGGCTGCCTTAAAATGACCTACCTTCTCTGGTCCATGGCAAAAACAGCAGCAGCTTTGAAAAATTCATCTGAGTGTTCAGACACTTTATATATGAAGTACTTTGTAAATGTTGGTAATTAAAAGGTAGATGGATTCCATCAGGAGGACACGATCAAACCGCTCGCCCGAGGGCAAAACAGGCAATGATGTGAGAACTGAAGGAAAGGTGCATTCCTCAGTGATCTGTGGTGATGAGTCTGGACTGAGAGAGCGAGATGTGTCAGGACTGTGTTCAGTGAGTTTTCACTGATCAGATAGATAACGCAACTCCGCTCACCTGAACAGACCCAACAACAACCCCCCCCTACTTAAAGAGACAGCTGCACAAAGAAGCTTAACATGACTTCACTTACCAAGTTCTACACGGCCAAGGTCATGGACTTTTACACTTGTCCCTGTAGAGTGTAGAGTCAAACGCTGTGATTGATTGTGTGTGTTTTGCAGGTGGTTCCCGTCGGCAGGTAAACGGCACTCCTCAGAAAGGCTTTGTGAGGCCGGAGCACCTCCTGGAGGGCAAGGTGAGTTCAGGAGATCACAGCTCTTTGATTTGTCTGAGACAGAAAAAGACTCATAAATATTCCCCGATTTATTTTTGTTTTCTTTAGGACGCTGAGGCCATCTATCAGTGGCTGTGTGAGTTCCAGCTGGAGCAGTACACGTCCAACTTCATCAACTCAGGATACGATGTTCCCACCATCAGCAGGATGACCCCTGAGGTGTGTCTTACAGGTTCAGGTTTTGCACTTGTAGGTAAATGTGGTTGCAAGGAGAGTCACATGTACTAAATACAGCACAGACCATACATACAACTTCAAAAGTGCAAATGCACAGTACATGGGCAAAAGTTGTATAATCGTACAGTTTGATGAACAAAGTGAGCTCTGAAAGTTACAGCGCCCAGAACATTAAAATGCATAAATAAAGGAGCAATTTAGAAGCATGACATCAGCTCTCCAGCTTGCTATCTCTGTCCCTCCATACAAGGCCGTCATGAAATTACCAACAGCCACATCGAGCAGCAAAGACAAAAACAAAACCTGATACTCACAGATATCCTACAGCTTTGCTCCGCTGCCCGTCCACTTCCGAAGTGCCCTTGAACTGCTCTGGAGCGCTCGCTGTGGGCAGCCGCCTCACTCTGAGACCTCTCCATTAATACATGTCCACAGGATCCTGTTTGTGCATGTGTGTGTATTTCGGCCTATGTGTGTGTGCATGTTCCTTAGACAGAGTTCCCCCTCGCGGGATTAATAAACTGTCCAAGGTCTCTAGACTAAACAAATACGCTGCACTCCCCCATTGGCTGAAACCGCCTTGCCCCTGAAACATCTCTGTTACTCTCTCTGAAGACGGAACAGAGGAGGGATCACTACGTCCCCCCATTCCACCTTCGGGACATTCAGATTGAAGGTCACAGGGGTGTTACTATTGCGGCTTGAAACAACATTCTGAAAATAACCATTGATCACTGAGTGCTGACTTGTCTTTGTAATGAAATAAGAATAAAGTAAGATTGTCATATATCCTACATTTGTATAATGAGAGTTGTTTGTGATGTTTCGAGGTGTTGATTAAGCGGCTGCGTCCATGTTTTTTGTTCTTCAGGACCTCACAGCCATCGGAGTGACAAAACCGGGACACCGGAAGAAGATTTCGATGGAGATCGGCAAGCTGAGCATCCCTGAGTGGCTGCCTGATTACATTCCTGTGAGTGACATGATTTAACATTTACTAATCCTTTCTACTTTTCGCGATTTTGATCAGACGAGTGATTCATCCACGATGATGTATCTTTTTATTTTTGTTTGCTGCTCAGTCTGACCTGGGAGAGTGGTTAAGTGTGATTGGACTTCCTCAGTACCAGAAGAGATTGAGTGAAAATGGATATGACTCCATCACCATCGTCAAAGACATCACCTGGGAGGACCTGCAGGAGATCGGCATCACCAAACTGGGTCAGGAATCTCTGCTGCTAAATGTTGTCTCAGAGGAGGACATTTTTCCATCTTTGGATGTTTAAACTTCTGTACTTCAATTGTACTTCAAAGATTTGAATGATTGTTGTGTCTTTGTTTCAGGCCATCAAAAGAAGCTAATGTTAGCTGTGAAGAGGCTCTGTGACCTGCAGCGCTCTCGTAACAATGGCGACAGGGCCGGAGGCGGGACTCTCAGACGGAAGCCCCCAGCTGCTCTGGAGTTGGTGGCCATCGAACACACACCGACACACATAGTGCACACTCACAGTCGCTCTGACGCTCCTTCTGAGGACTGCTGCCCCTCCCCTCGCACACCAAGGACACTCCTCTCCTTCCAGGACAGCGAGTTGAGCGCCGAGCTGCAGAGCGCCATGATGGGCAGGGCGGGAGGTGGAACTGCAGAGGCATTCTGCATCAGGGGTGTGACCTCCGCTGCAGCCATGTCGGTCAGTCAGGAGAGCATTAGCATGCGGTCACGGGGGATCTGGGAATTCTGGGAATTCCGGGAACTCAAATTCAGGATACCCTCAAGATCACCAAGCAGCACCGTCAGCGCGGACGTGCAGCCAATCACAGGAGAGTCTGGGGAGCGGTGCAGGAGAGGAGGCCAAACGTGGAAGAAGTAGTCCTGGAGGGAGAAGTAGACAGAGACCGACAGAGATGTGGGAGCAGCAGAGTCGATCTGCTACACCCAACAAACTCCCCTTCTCCCCCCTGACTCCCCCTCTCACCCCCAGCAAGATGCCCCGTTTCGCCTACCCGGCTGTCCCCCCCAAGGCCAAACACTTCCAGTCTCCGAGCCGCCTCTATCAGCCTCAGCAACACCCCCCCTCGTCACCGTCCCCGCTGCCCTCCCCCACACAGAAGACATTCAGTTACCTCCAGGCCCAGACAGGAGGAGTCAACGGGGGGTCAGTGGGTGCTCTCCAAACCTCTGCCTGGAGCCGTCCCTGTGCTAGGACCCCGACCAGGTCAGGTCCCAGCTGACGCTGCCCAGAGGGGCCCGCACAAGAAGCGCGCACAAAGCCTGACTCGCTACGCTCTGTCCGACGGCGAGCCGGACGAAGACGACGACCTCGCTCCCCAAAACACCTCATCTTCCTCTGCAATGATGCCCTCTTACGCCACTCTGTCACGCAGGCCAGGACGCGGCCACACCAGCACCACAGGAGCCCAACGCCACATCAACCGCAGCCACTCGTTCGCTGTGAGATCCAGACGTAAAGGCCCTCCTCCTCCGCCACCAAAAAGGATGAGCTCTGTGAGCGGCAGTCCGGCACGCCAACCAGGAAATGGGAAAGTTACGGAGGCTGAGGTGAAGGGAGGGGTGGAGACGGAGAGCACGGGCAGCGTCAGGAGCATCGCAGCGCGGCTGGAGGGGAGCAGCAGCAGCGGCGGCAGTCCATCCAGGAGGATGGATATTCCACCAACAAATGTCCCCAGTTCACCTGTTTTCAGCCCAGTTTCCGCTCCCATTCCACATGTTATGACTGCTCATATGATCCTACAGAACTCCAAACCCGTCCCTGCGCTCGGAGTGGGGGGTCTGAGGAGGACAGGAAGCGAGAGGACAGAGGAAGAGAAGGTGAGGAAAAGTGAAAGGATGTCTAAAAGCGCCACACCATCTCCAAAACACCTCGCTGTCGAGCGCCTCCCGTTCGCAGAAGAAGGAAACCGCACCATCAAACAGAGACCCAGGACAACATCCATCAACCAATCAGACGCTGAAGTCAAGACTCCTCCAGAGGGTCAGCTCCAGACCCCGAGTAGCCTGGAGCTCCCGGAGTTTAACCTTAAAGAGTCGGACACGGTGAAAAGACGACACAAACCCAAAGACTCGCTGTCGCCCGACGAGGCCACGCCCCCCCACAGAGACGACAGCCACCCGCATATCAGGAGCCTCCACCCACAGAGCGACGTCAGTCCGCAGAGCGACGATGAATCTCAGAGGCCGGGGAGGATGTTCCAGAGAGCAGGATCCATGGGAAAAGGTCCAAAGCCTCCAGTCTTCTCAAAACCTTCCAGTCCTTTCAAACAAACCCCAAACAGTAGACCAGCAACCCCCCAGAAAATACCACAAACTAATGCACCCACAGCCATTCCTCAACTTACCAGTGTTCAGATTCACACCGTCTCCCCGAAGCTGGGCGGCAGCGTTCACACACACACAGGTATAACCAGTCCAAACCTCGGAAGACACTCACAGACAGCGACCCCGAAACCAGAGAGTCCACAGAAAGGTTCAGGTCTTTCAGTGAGACTTCCTCCGTCCGGCTTGGCATCAGCAGCAGGTAACACCGACCAAAAAACGATTTTGTTTACCTCGATTAAAAACGTACTTTGTGACAGATTCTCAGACCAGAACAAGCGATCTCTTTAGACCCCCCTCCCCCTCCCTGTCCTGTTTCACCAGCAAGTGTCTGTGAGGCAGACACTTGCTGATACACTCTGAAAACAAGATTCTGAGATGGATTTTATGAGCATCTCAGAGTAGATTTGATTGTTTTGTACCAAAGAAAATATTTTCTCCTGTTTGATTCTCCTTTAGTCGTACGACACTCCGTCATTATACCCTAAACACTGCGTCCACAGGTTATCAAAATGTCCGATACTTTGGTGCTTTTCAATATCAGTGTTTTAAAACGATGCAGTCGACGTTATTTTATAGATTGATAGTACCAAAAAGTACCGATGCTAAGAAAAAACGACATCTGTTGAGGCCCTGACGCACCGAGGACATTGTTGGTGAGCGATCTCCGCCTTGGTGTGTCCAGCTCCGTCGCTACCCGTTGGCCCCCTTTGGCCTTTTAAGTGTTTTGTTTTTTTGACATTTAGCTTTGAAACACTTTTTGAAATAAATGTTAAACACGTAACTCTCCGTCCTGCAGGAACAAACCTCGCCATGGTCCAGTGTGTCGTGTTCCCCTCTCCGTCCTCCCCGGCTGCAGCACGTTCGTACCCGAACTCTGCAGGGAGAGCGGGGACTCCTCTGACTGGTGTGGCCGGTCTGGAGGTTCTGGCTCAGAAGAGACTGGAGCAGACCAGTACGTCACTGGAGGCCGCTCTGAAAGTGGTGGAGAACAGACTGGCAGAGGGGAGCAGTGTGGGCAGGTAAGGACTGCTGATTCAGTGACTTAAAGGGTTAAAGAAGTCTGTTATTAAAGAGAGTATTTTTCACTGCACTCTGTTGGCCTCATCCATACGTACAGGTGCACGAGTAAATCACAGGTAGATTTTTAAGTTAACGTGTTTCTTCAGCACCTGGACTGATGACTACCTGCTGTATCGAAGGTGTGTAACCTTTCCTGTCTGTTTCTCAGCGGCGACAACACGGTGAAAGCGACGGGGAATATCCTGGACGACATCGGCAGCATGTTTGACGACCTGGCCGACCAGCTGGACGCTATGTTGGATTAACTTTCCCCTCACAGGGTCCAAGTTCTTTCGTCAAGAGGGGCAAAGCCATTTTAAAAAGTATAAAAAGTTATAAAATCCAGCAAACAGGAGGTGACAGTGAACATTTGATGCTGCTGTGAACGACGAGACGAGGCGGCGTCTTTGACTCTGGATGAATCGATGCGTTCACATCTGAGGATTTCCTGCACGTCTTCTCCTCGGTGTTACAGAAGTTTTTCAACGCAGCACTTCGCCTCAGGACGCACACCTGGGAATGTTATTGGAGCTACACAGACGCTGAGCGATCATCTTCCGTGTGTGTGTGTGTGTGTGTGTGTGTGTGTGTGTGTGTGTGTGTGGGTGTGTGTGGGTGTGTGTGTGTGTGTGTGTGTGAGAGAGTGGGTGTGTGTGAGAGAGTGGGTGTGTGTGACTGTGTGTGTGTGTGACTGTGTTTGTGTGAGTGTGTGTGTGTGACTGTGTTTGTGTATATTGTCACTAAAGGGAATAAGGGTCCATTAAATTCACACGTTACATGTACGTGAGTCTCTGTGTGGTCAGATATCTTTTACTGAAACTATTTATAAACATGTTTTTTAACAAAGTGAGTTTATGATATTTCTGTCTGATAAACATTTTGCTGCATTGTTTATAACATGGAGAAAGTTTATTATTATTTGTTTTATTAAAGCCAGAGTATTCCACGTGTATGTACGAGATCTGATTTGACGTTTTTCCCAAAGTTTTTTATTCTCAGGACGCACAAAGACGAGCGGAACGTTCTGTAAACAGACATGTTTGTACGTATTTCTACGGTGGCTGACAAAGGCAATCAACCTGCAACAACTATTACGATTTCACACAGCAGTATGTAACTCTGACAGCTTGTGTGGAAAATGGGTACTGCAGCCCAAATTCAAAACATCTGAGAGAGCTGTCTCTCAAAGTTCGAGCTGTTGCGGGGCGGTCGCCTCTTGTCGGCCATCGTCTATATTCCTCCTCTTTCTAAGTTTAAAGATATGACGTCTCGCTGCGGGGTGTCAGAAATGAATTTACTGTTACTGTACGTGTTTTGTGTCCAAAGAGCAGCAGATGATTCAACATGTTAAAACATTTCAGAAAAGTTTCTCAGATTATTGTCAAAGTGACTGAACTCTGTGAGCGGTTGTTTACTGTAAATAAAAGAGAAGTGTTTCTACAGATTTTATATTTGAAGTTGTTTCCTGAAGACTCTCTCAGCAGCTCTGCTTCTGCTTACACCCGTATGTACTGTAAAGCTTTGTGCTCACTGCGCACACACCGGCAGAAGAATCAAGAACTTCTGTTTCAACAATTACAACATGCATTTTGATTTCTTTAATATAACCCTCATGCATCACTATGGACATTTTTGTCCATTTGGGCAAACGTTTCCTCTTTATCTGGCCATCATTTTAGCTGTTAGTGCATATGGCACACATTTTTGTAAGAAAGTCTCAACAAATTTAGGATTGCAATTTTTTTTTTATAGATCAATAAATCACAGAACATTTTCTACTACCCTCTTAAGTCATTTTTTTCTACATCTCTTCAGCCCTGCTCAAAACTATCAAATATTGAATAATTATCAGGATTTTAACCTTTTAAATGCCACTTTGATTACATGATTCTGGCATTTAAAAGGTTAAAATCCTGATAATTATTCAATATTTGATAGTTTTGAGCAGGGCTGAAGTTATGAGAGATTTATGCAAAAAAAAAAAAAAAAATTGTAATTTTATAGCAGTTTTTTGGAAGTGTACATTAAGAGGGTAGTAAATTAAACTGATGACTCAGGGTTAAAAACGAATCCTAGTATCACCTTTTTGTACCTGTATGGAGCCGAAATGACTTAAAAGGTACAAAAAGGTTCAGAATTAGTTGCAGCAGTGAAACAGGCTGTCATGGCTGCAGTGTTTTTCTCTCAGTTTAAATTATGTCCTCATAAGTCGTTCTTTTTAGTCCTGACATGCTCAGATCGATCTCTACATGTGTGACACCCTCACAGGAAGAATCTCTGCAGAGAGAGAGCTTCAAGTTCAGGAGGAAGATGATTTATTAAAAACAGAACGCAGATTGCTCTTTTCTTATTCACCTGACTACAACGAGAAAAACAGTAATTTTTTCACTATAGCCTACTTAATGAGTGTGAATGTGTTATTGTGTGTGACCTTTTTACTTTGAATTTCTTGTGTTACACAGAAACACATTTCAACGGCTTGTTCTGTAAATCATGGGATGGTTCCCCGATATGAAACCAAGAATTTCTTCAAGCCTCGACATGAGCTCCTGAAACCTCTTACACAGACTCTCTTCTCCCAGCACTGGAGAGCAGCGTGATGTTTACTATAAAAATTTGAGTTCTGTTTCATCCTGCACATCATAAAAAAGATGATTTTTAATTATTCAATGTTTCACAAACATGTCATATTACTTCCTCAGATTATCGTGGCTCGCTCACTTCTAAAACTTTGTGCTTGTTCGACCCCAAACTGTTTTTAAAATACTGTCAAGGTGTTCTGTCTCCAGCAGGTGCTCACAAGCATTTTCAAACTCCAACACTCGTTTTTCCCGCTGCACATGAATGCATCACAGTTGAACCTTCCTGCAGCGTATCAACAAAAAAAACATGACAAAAACAGAGTCGAGTAGATTTGATCCAAATCTTATATTTGTCACGCTCGATACATCCTACAGCACAGAGCAAAACATCAGGTCTTGTTTTTAAACTTTCACACGACCTCAGACGTCTTAGGTGTCGGCCACAGAATCAAAACACGACTCACCGAGGAGCTTCATTTCTCTCGGGTCAGTCCAGATAAAATCATTTATTCATGTATTTACAAATCTAGAAAGAGCTACATGAAAAAAAAAAAAAAAAACAGAGGCGGAGAGATTTCTCATCCTGGAATCATAAACGGTGACAGAAAGACGAGCACACACACGTTGAAGGATCGTTTCAAACGTGTGTTTCCTGGAATGATTCGATTATTTAGCGCTTCTCATTCACACAGATCGGCGAGACGCTGATTACAGGCGTGACAATCGGACATTCATTTAATCTCTAAATCTGCCCTCGCACGCTCCGCCTCACGTCAGAGCTGCTCGTTCTTTTTCATATATTAAACATTCATTCCTGTGTGGGACATTTTTTTTTTTTTTTTTTTTAAAACATGACAGAAAAAGTGGTGAACCCCCCCCCCTCAATTAAAACAGATCAAATCATCACATAATACTGATGCTTTAAAAAACGGGTCTGTTCAGAGTCCGAGGACGTAGACGTAAGATCCAGAGAGCAGACGGGACAGATGACGACGATGACGATGATGATGAAGATGAAGACGGTGGAGGATGTTTATAGGTTGCTGAACAGTTCGTTCCTCTTGCTCCAGTCCATGGACGGGGCTTTCTTGGCGGCTCGTTTCTGGTGGGCTCGTTCTCTGGCCTGAGCGAGAGACAGACCCAGACCAGATTGTCGGCTGCGGGGGCCGGCTCGGGGGTCCTCTCCGCCTGCAGACACACAATTTACACCGACTGATCATGAGTGAAAGGTGAAGGGTCAAACATGAAGCGTGTTCTACTTTATCTGGTTTCTGTGTGTATCAACGACACAGGGGTCACCTCAAGTGGTAATCAATAAAAACACACTCCGTACCTCTGCAGGGGAGGGGCTGCTGGTCTCTGCTGGCTGGTCGGCGTTGGACGAGGCGCTTGACGAGCTCAAAGACACGCTGCGTTTAATCTCCTCTGCTGCCTGCAAACACACAGAACACGGAAATATGAACCTTCAATCTCATAAAACCACAGAAGTCCACCTACACACCCCAACCCAGAACCTCCGATCCTCGGACACAGGTTTACGTTCTATTCCCAGCACCAACATCTTTGAACAATGTTTAAAAACCCTCCTGTTCCGCTCAGTTTATGGACTTAGTTCAGTGTGTTGTTTCGTTTGTGTATTTTGATGTAAAGCATCCTTGGGTCCCTTGAAAGACACTATATTTATTTAATATATTTAATTATTTATTTTATCTCTGTAGGTGGTGGTACGTTAAGAGGATTTTTTAAAGATTCTGCTCGTAAACGATCAGAAAATGTTGCTCTCTCTGCTTTCCTTTCAAAGTATTCTCTCTCAGCGCGCTTGTGGCCTAGTGGTTAATGCAGGCTCTCCATGTACGGAGGCTAAAAGTATTTTCTCTCAGGTTCACCCAGTCATCCATCATCTATACCACCTTTTTTGCCGTTTGGGGTCGCGGGTACTGGAGCCAATCCCAGCTGTCATTGGGCGAGAGGCGGGGTTACACCCTGGACTGTTCTCCAGCCAATCACAGGGCTGACATATAGAGAGAGACAACCAGACACACTCACATTCACACCTACGGACAATTTAGAGTCAGCAGTTAACCTAACGAGCATGTCTTTGGACTGTGGGAAGAAGCCGGAGTACCCGGAGAGAACCCACACATGAGAACATGAAAACTCCACACAGAGAGACTCCTGACAGACGGGGATTCTCTCAGGTCTTTAATTAAACACCACAAAGATAATCCTTAATTGATCCCCATTGTGGAAATTAAGGACTTTATACTATATATAATATAATATAATATAATATATATATTATATACAAATAATAAGGTGGATATCTCAGAGTAGAAAACACAAAATCTTGACTTCTCAAACAAAAACTTTCTGCACAGTCGGATTAACAAACAACAGCTCAGAGAAACTGTGAGGTGTTTGTTTGTCCCTGTGGTGTCCAGCAGGGGGCAGCAGAGCCCCTCCTGTCACTACTGTGACACGCAGCAGGTTTCAATCTCTTCTTTTATTATAAAGGCAGCAGAGAGAGCACTAATCTGTGAGCTCCGTGTTTAAACTGTGGATGAAATATTAACACACTGCCGAGCTGCACCATGACCCCGTGTGACTCACCTCATGTATGATTCGTTAGCAGCTGCCACGCTAAAAATAAACACTGTAAGTGGCTTTGGACAATATGCCTCAATAACGCACACCGGGAGGCTGACAACAAAACGCACACAGTGACCCACAAACTGCAGCGCTGTAATCCAGACACTCCTCTTTCTATTTACACTAATTCAATCTATAAATCTCTTAAGTTGTTGACTCGTTTTGACCGTGGATGCGGGTTATTTCTCTCTCTCTGTGTGTGTTGACCTACGGAGCCTCCGAGACGCAAATAGAAAATCAAACTCTGAGAATCAATTGAGGAAACATCAAATCTGAACAGTCTCTCCTTCTGTGTTTGTTTACAGAAGACGTCCAACATTTGGGGCGTTTTTAGGACCGCAGGAACTTTTTCATAGTTCCAGGAACCCTCAACCACCGCCCGATGCCCAGCCTCCACCATC